AATGAGCATGTAATGGAGGATCAGCTGCTATTGGCATTGATGTGTCTAAGCCTGGGCCGAATGGGACAGAAGCTGTAATGCGTGGCACAAGTTAATCATCCGTTTACGGTATATACTATATAGCTAGCTGAGCTGTTGGTCCTCCGTTTGGGCATGATCCCCATTTGGGCGAGCTGGCGAGATGTTCAGTCATCAATGCCATGTACCGCAAGACATTCTGCATTGTGGATGAAACAGTTCTATTTTGCCATGCACTTAGGGTTCTCGCACCAGACTCAACAGATCCTTGCGCTCCTATTTTCTCCCATGGTAACATTGCTAATCACAACACCCGGTAGCCAGTCGCAGATGCAACCAAATCAACCAGATTCTCTTACTCTTTTTTTCCAATACTGAAACCAAAGGTATACCAATATTTGCATCGAATGCAGTGATGATTTCAATACTGTCCACTAAGTTAGTACAACGCATTACCAGACTGGCATATAATCATGATAATATTATCCATTTCGCAATCACTGTCATTGCTTTCTTAGATCTTCAATCATCAATATCGGACCATAAACCGTCTATCATCTTATATTATATCATCATTAGTATCCTGATACTATCCTCCTCTAACGATGAGCTCGAAGAAAAGAAACAGCGGTCTAGAGGCGTAAACAAAATCTGTCAACGGAAGTGTCCTTGCTGTGCTGGTGTGTTTATGCTTCGTGCATTAGTTCGGCCAAGAGAGCATGGTGGTGGCGGGTTGAGGATGTTAAATATACTAGAAAATAGTTCACTCTGAACATGCAGGGGGGTATATTCATAGGTTTGAAAGAACCGCACACACACTTTGCTGCAGACAGCGGCAAGCTTTGGCCCTCGTGCTTCGAAGAGGGAGCAATCCACTGCGCTACGCTTGCGATTAACAGCAAGCTTCGACTTTTCAAAGTACGACTCATCATTGGCTCTAGGGTAATGTTCCTGGAACAAATGCCCCATAGCCAACTGAGGGCCAGGGAGCACGCAATCTGCCTTCCTGGGCAAGAAGTGTTCCAGCACAAGAAGCATGCTGACAAAGACCACCATCACCACCAGCCGGCACACAGCACACTGTTCTTCAAACACCATCCACTCCGTCCATGTGTTTGCACTGTCCTCCTCTAGCTCTTCACGCTCAACAAATACCACGCACTGCTCATCGTTTTTTTATGCTTCCTCTGGGTTGGCTAGCCCTTCGACTTGACAAAACAGCGATCACCACTGCACTGCTATCGTCACTTCATAGCATTCGCTTCCACCAGTGGCTTTTCCTGTCTTTGCAAGGTGTCCAAGGATGGCTGCTGTTGTCACTACAGGCAAATCATAAGTACTTTATTGGCTGATGTCCAACCAGATCGTTGGAAAATCGATTTTTCCACTTCAGGGCTGCTGATCGCGACTTGGTGGCTTGGCAGCACCACGGTTACCTTCATAGAAGATGGCTCTGGAGAGGAAAAGACAGACCAGAAAAAGGCTACTATTATCTTAAGCACCGATCGCAAGGAGAAAGAAATATGGTCTGCTGTAGCCTAGGCACAAAATAAATCTCACAACACGATTCGCGATTCGAATATTTCAACAGCAAAAAAACTCACCTCTGGAGTAACTTCTGTTTGTGGCCCGAGATCGTTCCCTCCCGCGCCTTGAAAAAATTCTGCAGCGGCATCACAGTCCATGTCTCTCTCTCCCCAATTCAGTGCTTTGGGGGCAAAACCTGGCCGAAATCCTTTTCTTGCAGCTCACGCAACTGGTGCAACTGGGCCATCGCAGAAGTTGAGCTCGGCTCAACTTCTGCGATGCGACAAACGATTTGGCGTACGATTTTGACCTTTTCTACAGCAAAGTTGTACAAAGATTCAAGAGTTGCCCGAAAACTTGTACAAGTTGTACCAAACCGCGCGAATACCATTGTGACGTACCCGCCTGCATTGCACTTCGCGCCAAATCAGCAAGTTATCGTCGCATCGGGGACTTCTTCTGTGAATGGTATTTCGCGAGTTCGCATCGCACGCCTGCATCGCAAATCGCGTCGCATCGCCAATGACATCGCAAAAAAAGCTTCTGTGAATCCCGCTTTACAACGAAGCGACTTCGATTATGCTGGGATTTGGCTGGTTTAAATTTTATTTCCATTCTTAACCCCAGCGGGAGATGTTGTTGACTGCTAGCTGGAGGGCTTGGGTGGTATCTTCTTGGGTGGTGGGGGTGATGTTGGCATACAGCGTAGTTTCGACTGTGAATGAGGCTAGGTCAGCACCGGCTGGTACGTGGTCCTCGCAGTCGTTCAAGTACATGAGGAAGAGAGTCGGACCCAGAATACTGCCCTGGGGGACTCCAGCCTGAATTGGGAGCCTTGAGGATGTCTGGCCACAAATGACCACTTGAAGGAAGCATTCACTGAGGTAGCTGCTAAGCCACTGGTGCAGTTGCCCACACAGGCCGTATACGTCAGACTTGTGTAGCACACCGGGGTGTGATGCGCGATCAAACTCACCGGCGATGTCAATGGCGAGTATGCGTGCTGCGCTTTTCTCCCCGGCCGAATGCAGCCACTGGTGGTGGAGGGTGGTAAGGAGGTATATATGGGAATGGGGCTGACAGGTCATCTTCGCCATGACTTCACTTGCTTGCAAAATTGCGGGCCATGCATTCTGCTTTGCCTGAGCTGGCGCTAAACACCCATACGCCAAGCTACCAGCCGTAGTCGTAGTTGCCATGCACATTTGCATGACGACTTGCGAAACCTGAATCTGTTTTCAACGAAACGATTACGAGCCGAATCAAACTTTCGTTTCACATTCGATTCGCAGCAAATGTGAAAGGTCCCTATTCACTTCACGGAGTACAGCTCATGAAGAGATAGAGAAGAAGGACATGGCCATTCCCAAAATCTCACAAAAGTCCACAGTGCAGACAGAACAGCAAACAAATGACACAAAAACATGATCCGCAATCCCATTTCCAAAATTGGGTGAAACCATTCTCTACAGTTTTCTTCGCAAGCCCTATTCAAAAATGAAAAATAATGAGTTCTTTGGAGGAAATGAATTGAGTAGACGAGAAATAATAGCGACCCTCTACAGAGCAGGTCATACTCCGAGACAAATTATGGACATAACCGGTTGCAAGAAGACTCAGGTGAGTGAAACAGATCATCAATAATGTGATAAAATCGAGAACAAGTCACAAAACAATCTTTTATTCTATTGTTCATGTTCAGGTAAAGGACGTATGCAATCGAGTTGAAATTGGGAGAAGCGTAGCAAGACAGGCAGGCAGCGGAACAATGCCGAGACTCTCACCTGTGGGCATGGAGTTTCGTGCTGATCACATCGCTGCCAATCATTTAGCGAGCAGTGAGAAGATTTCTGATGTTCTGGACACGGAGCGACCTGGTGGGGAAATGGCAGCACCCCCCCCCCCCCCCCCCCCCCCCAGCATGGTACGCAGAAGCCTCAGACGGAATAATGACAGGTCCGGGCGGCCGGTGCGTTAGTTTGTTCTGAACGAAGCAGCAAAGAACAGCCGGGTAGTATGGGGAATTGAGCATCGCCAGTTTGACTTTGACCGCGTTGTCTTTGCAGACGAGGCATGCTTTGCCTTGGGTCCTGACGGACGTGTTATGTCCTGGTACCCGTGGGACGAGAAGCCAATAGTCGAGGTGCCACACTATCCAGCAAAAGTGCACGTTATCGGGGCCATTTCACTTTTCGGAACCGTTCGACATTAATTTTGTCCTTTGCTTCGACGTGGAGTGCAGCAACGTTCGCCCAAGGAATGGCAGCCGACATTGTACTGAGTGGCATCGGATTCTTTGCAAACGAGTGGTCCTTGCCGCTCTTAAATGCTACCTTCCACACGTCAGCTCAAGTACAGCAGGATCTTCTCGATAGCGGAGTACCCAACATCCTGTTTCAACCTCCCTGCTCGCCGCACATGAATCCAATTGAGAATTTGTGTGCTCTTCTCAAGAAGAGAAGAATTCCACCTCGCTGCGAGAATGCTGACCAGCTGGTGCAGGCACTGCACCTGGAATAAGACTCGTTGGCTCCTGACACGGTTTTCCCATGCGTGGAGTCAATGCCACATCGTGTTGAAGCCCTAATCGCAGCAGACGGAGGCCACGCAAAATATTGAAGCCCTGCTGCTCTGTGTATGAAATAAACTGTTTCGAAAAGATCTCCGTCTTCTTAACTTGTCCTGAACTGAAATGAATGTTACCAAGAGTATATGACCCCCAAGAGTGTGCAACTCTTGATACCTTTTGTATGAGGTACGCCGACGGCGAAAACTCACATCACATGGTGCAGAGTCTCAGTTGTACGTTTCCAGCCCGTTTTTAGCGAGCAGCGGAGTAATAAAAAAAGCACTCTCTGACAGAAACTCACTGCGCGTATGCAAATCCCCAGCATGATCATGGCAGATATTCGGATTGCGCGCACGCTATCCTTCGTTTGTACGTAGTACGAAGATATCTGGGACACGTGATGTGAGTTTTCGCCGTCGGAGGCCCCATATGCAGAGTTGCACACTCTTGGGGGGGGGGGGGGGGGGGGTTATATACTCTTGATGTTACTCTTCTCTTTGTTTGGCGCGGTTGTTTACACTTTGGTGTAAGCATGCATGCGTACGAGTACAGCACATGCACAGTTCATACTGCACACGTGCACACTAGCACTTATACAACTTTGAGGGCGTCAAGGGCCGCATCATCAATTCAACACCTGTCAACAGGAATGTCTTGGTGTGTGCAGAGATGTCCATAAATGATTCGAAAAAGTTCTTAGTATTGTATACTTGCGCCCATCATATGCCCCTCAACCCACAAGAGGAATATTGCAACAATACTTTGGCTCAAAAAGAATGCAAACTAATCAATCTCGTACCCAGCACTAAAGCATGTATTGGGGTTTTCCAGCTTTAGCTGATGGATAACGCATAGGAATGTCTGGTCATGTGTGGTACCTGTACAGGACGGTTGTCTTCCTGTTCATTGCGCTGCCTTTGAAGGGCATCTGGAACTCGTCAAGTATCTACTAGATCTCCAACGCGACACGATCTCTGCAAAGACCGATGTAAGTTGAGCAATCTCTATCGTTGATTCCCCTTAAGCATTTTTTCCAGAACACGGTTTGAGCAATGTATACAACAAGTTGCATCTAGTCACTCGCGCCAGGCCAGAGCAACAGAACTTAACCTTACGGATTCCACCATCTGCCAGTAGAGCAGACCATGGCACACCATTCACTCTTGGGTCCATACAATGGCCCTCCCTACATACTAAAGTGATGCACATATATTTCTTGGTGTATCTGTGTTTGTGTGTGTGTGTGTGGGGGGGGGGGGGGGGGGGGGGGGAGGGGTGCGTGCGTGTGCATAATGGCAAAGATAGCCAACTGTCTTCGCCGTTCTATGCTGATGTACTTCGTGTTGTGCAGACCACGTGTGCATTGGTGGTCGATTCTCATAGCTTCACAGGTTGTATTGACTACAGTCTATTCAGAAAAAGATGAGCGCTGGCTCTGGAGAGCTCCCGTATTGGCCGATTTTGTGATACACTTTGCAATGCCGCGAGATTCGAAACTTGAAAAAGGGTCCAAAAAGGTACCTCAACAGGGGTTCGAACCGGAAATGTACTGTTGTGCAAGTCGAGTGAACGGCCTGGATTTTCATGGTTTTTACCCAATTCAGTGCTTTGGGGGCAAAACCGGGCCGAAATCCTTTTCTTGTTATGGCTAACTATTTGGTAAAAAAAGACCTCAAAAACACAATTGGAAGAGCATTCCATGGAGGATGGCCAAAAAAATAAGACGAAAACTCAAACTTTGACCCACTTATTGCCAGAAGCTAGGATATCATTCTTTTCTGAATGGACTGTAGGCTGATATCTGGCACTAGTCTTGATCTGTCTCATTCAGATATTGTCCACTATTATTGCTATCGTTTCCGTGCTTCTTTTGTGACGGGAGTATACATGGTAAGCGGTGTGTATGCATGTACATGTGTGTGTGTGTGTGTGTGTGTGTTGGGGGGGGGGGGGGGTATGTGCATGTTTATGTGGACATGTATATTAGGGCTGAAATGATTATATCGGTTATCTTCCTACTGATCATGAAGCGGGGTTCACAGAAGCACTTCGCGTTGTAACACACGATGCGACGGTCGCGAAACCGAGAAATCCCCAAATCGTAGCCATCTCGCAGCCCACGCAACTGCCGCAACTGGGCCATCGCAGAAGTTGAGCTCGACTCAACTTTTGCGATGCGACAAACGATTTGGCGTACGATTTTGACCTTTTCTACAGCAAAGCTGTACACAGATTCAAGAGTTGCCCGAAAACTTGTACAAGTTATACCAAACCGCGCGAATACCATTGTGACGTACCCGCCTGCATTGCACTTCACGCCAAATCAGCAAGTTATCGTCGCATCGGGGACTTCTTCTGTGAATGGTATTTCGCGAGTTCGCATCGCACGCCTCCATCGCAAATTGCGTCGCATCGCCAATGACATCGCAAAAAAAGCTTCTGTGAATCCCGCTTTACAACGAAGCGACTTCGATTATGCTGTCTATTTCGATTACGTGATTCAAAAAAATGATAAAAAATAAAATATAAAAAAACGTGTAAAAGATGTCATGCACATGACTGTACTACGTAGTAGTAGGACCCGATAATGTTACGTACATAAGTCACCGGAGGATGTACCCAGTGTGCTGACAGTGCTCAACACCACGAAGGCAGAGCATAATACAAAACAACAAGGACAATCAAGGCGTGTTTGCTGCTAACAGTTACTTCAAGTTTCATGCTCCCACAATCATCAGGAAACATGATTGCGAGAACATGAAACTTGAAGTAGCAGCAAACAAGCCTTGATAGTCATTGTTGTTTCGTACATTAATAATTGTATAGGCCAAATACCTTGGTTTATTGATAGATGACCATGTCACCTTCCAGCCACAGGTTCAGAAATTGTGTAACTAAGTGTGTGCTAAGTTGCTGCTTTGCGACAAGGCCGTAGAAATTTAACAAATGATGCAAAGGGAACATTAAACTTGTCTATTATTCAGTCTACCCTAGACTATGCCAGTAATGCTTACCTACATTGTTTAAGCAAAACTCTGTACAATAGGATTTTGAACATTTGTCACATACCAATGAAGAGAGTGTTTGGCCTCGATCGTACCACGCCCACTGAACTAGTTCTTCCCTTATACTGCCTCTATTCTTTGGAACAACATAACGTTATTAGCCTCACAGGCAACGACAAAAATTGCATAGTGGGAGCATAGTGATGGCGAGGCTTTTTGCCCTCAGCCGATCTGAGGTCTCAACGTCATGGGGACATAAAACGCACCAAAAAAAGAAGAAAAATGAAAGGAGTGTCAGGTGCATGATACTAAATGTTAGGAGGAGAGACAGTACCGGTACATTAGAATCTGGGGAATGATAAGACAGACAGTGCTAGGAGGAGAAGGAGAGAAAAGAAGAACAGACGTTATTGGGAATAGGATGTGGAGCGGAGTTGGAAGTCATGGGGTGAGGCAGATAATGATGCTGGTAATCAGAGATGGTCATGTGCCCACGACCAGTCGTTGGTCTTCTAATAGCGGTTGGCTGCAACTTTGAAGTGTTGCAAGTTCTTGGTGCAGAATGGACCAGAGAAGCCTCCGGCGGGCAGCTGGTTCCAGACGGGGACAACTGCGTGAGGGTAGGCTTGACACAGGTTGTTTCGGGAACGGACTGGAAATTCATTGGCCAGTAGGTGTGCGTGAGCATTACATCTCTGAAATGTACTACGGGTGGAGTAACTGTTCGGTGTTGGGGCTACTGTGGTGGCAGCATCCTCTGTAGAAGGGGATAAGCATCCGGACAATGCATCTTGTACAGGAGGCAAAGTGCTGCAACCATCCGACGAAGAGCAAGACTCAGCAGCCAGCACATTGGGGCGATGGCATGGATGGCCCGGGCTTGCACACGGTCGAGTCTTGCAAGATGAGATGTGACCGCTCCCATCCAGACAATAGGGCAGTACTCCATCACTGGGCGCACAAAAGCAATGTAGGCTTGAATGCGACCGGGCACGTCTAGGAGGTGGAAAGCCTTACTCAAAGCGTCAAGACGCTGTGTTGCCCGGAGGGCTATGGTACGAAGGTGGCGCCAGAAGGTAAGGTGACCATCGAAACTGATGCCCAAGATGTTGAGCTCCTCTTGTTCCGTCACATTTGATCCGTTGAAGTCAATCGGTGGCATGTCCCATTGGGTGCGGTGGAAGCTGACAGTCAGTGCCTGGGATTTGGCTGGTTCAAATTTTATTTTCCATTCTTGACCCCAGCGGGAGATGTTGTTGACTGCTAGCTGGAGGGCTTGGGTGGTATCTTCTTGGGTGGTGGGGGTGATGTTGGCATACAGCGTAGTTTCGTCTGTGAATGAGGCTAGGTCAGCACCGGCTGGTACGTGGTCCTCGCAGTCGTTCACATACATGAGGAAGAGAGTCGGACCCAGAATACTGCCCTGGGGGACTCCAGCCTGATTTGGGAGCCTTGAGGATGTCTTGCCACCAATGACCACTTGAAGGAAGCGTTCACTGAGGTAGCTGCCGGGCCACTGGTGCAGTTGCCCACACAGGCCATATACGTCGGACGTGTGTAGCACACCGGGGTGTGATACGCGATCAAACTCACCGGCGATGTCAATGGCGAGTATGTGTGCTGCGCTTTTCTCCCCGGCCTAATGCAGCCACTGGTGGTGCAGGCTGGTAAGGAGGTCGGCTGCACTATGACCATGGCGAAATCCAAACTGCCTGGTGGAGAAGACCTTTTTCGAGGAAATTTGTGATTGTTCTGTTGATGATTGTCTCTATCACCTTGGACAGAATACACAAGAGTGAAACTGGACGGTAATTGGAGGGTGGAGACTTTGATTTCCGTTTGAATACAGGGACTATGTTGGCACACATGGAAGTATTACACACACACACACACACACACACACACACACAAACACAAGTATTATACACACACAAACTATATACACACACAAACTATATACACACACACACACGCACACACACGCACACAAACACACACACAAGTACTATACACAAAAACCCACACACACTATACACACACATGCACACACACACACAAACAAACACACACAAACACACAAACACACACAAGTAATATACACACACACACGCACACACACACACACACACGCACGCGCACACACACACACACACACACACACACACACAGATCACAGGTGCGTAGAGGCCCAATGCTAGTCAGCAGATCGTAGATACTTCTGAACGCCTTCTTTGAACTGCTGGAGGCGAGGTAGAGTAGATTGTGCTGTGATGAGCTCTGGAGGAAGGCGATTCCACTCCTCAACGATGGCGGACGGAAATGATCGCTGTACGCTGTTGCGTGAGTGACGGTTGTGGGGCATGGCAAACTGCAATTCATGGCAAATCCGGCTCTGCTGACGAGTGCGAGGATGCCCTTGCAGCTCTTGTGCAACGGCAGGGATCATTGCTCGCAGTGGTGAGCTAGTTGAGAGGCACTGGAGCTTGTATAAGTACGTGTGAGCAGCAACAACATGGCGGAGGGCCAGACTTGGGAGCCATGACTCACGAGAGATGATCTTGAGAGCTCGTAACTGTACTGCATCGAGCTGACGAAGGGTTGTAGTGGCAGCCCCCATCCAGACCAACGGGCAGTATTCCATTACTGGTCTGAGAAAGCCTTTGTAGACCCGCTCTCTTCCACGGAACATCAAGGATGGGGGCAGCTCTGTTCAGGAAGTGTAACCGCTGGCGTGCACGTACGGCTACAGAGCGCAAATGCTGGTGGAAAGACAACTGTGTGTCGAACTGGACTCCTAGGAGCTTGAGCTCTGCTTCCTCCACAACTGGTACTCCATCGAAGGAGATGGCTGGGAGCTGCCGACGTGGCCGATGGTGATCGATGGTGAGGGCCTGGGATTTGGTGGGCTCAAATGAGATCTTCCAGGCTTTGCTCCAGGCGGAGATGTCATCCACTGCATGCTGCAAAACACGGCTTTGTTCATTCACGTCTGCGCCCACTGTGAGACACTGATACAGCGTGGTGTCGTCCGCATAGACAGCGAGATCTACGCCCTCTCCGAGAGTAGTGTCACTGTCATTCACGTATACTAAGAACAGGGTAGGCCCCAATATACTTCCTTGAGGAACACCAGCGGTAATGGGAAAGACATTAGACTCATGGCCAGATACGACTGCACAGAGATGCCGAGCTGAAAGATAGTCGGTTAAAAGGGGGCCCCTGAGCCCATAGACAGCAGCCTTGTGAATCACACATTTGTGGGACACCTTATCAAATGCTCCAGATATGTCTACTGCAAGAACATGGGCTGAGCCTCGCGAACCGGCAGCTCTAATCCATTGATGATGTAGGAGCGTCAGGACATCTGCAGTTCCAAGGAGTCGGCGGAATCCATATTGCTTTGCTGACAGAACATTATGGCGATCTAGAAAGTTCATGATTGCGAGGTTCACAATGCCTTCCATTACCTTTGAGATAATGTTGAGTAGGGACACTGGTCGGTAGTGGCTGATGGTTGAGCGGGAGTTCTTCTTGTGAACTGGGACTATTCTGGCCTCTTTCCAGTCTGCCGGTTGTCTTCCAATGGAGAAACACGTGGCAAAGAAGCGTGCTAGGGGGGCAGCAAGCTCGTTTGCACACGTCTTGAGGACACAAGCTGGGATGTTGTCAGGTCCTGTTGCTTTGGAAGTGTCAAGCTGACGGACGGCTCGGGCTACAGCTGGTTCCCTGAAATGCACTTGGTGCAAGCGGGCGGTAGACTTAGGCTGTACATGTGGGAGAGGCTCATCCTCGAAATCATCCACAAGAGAGCATTTCCCAGCAAAATACTTCCCAAACGCCTCAGCTTTGCTACTATTGGTGGAGTGTTCCTTGCCATCACGATCGATGATAGTAGGTATGCCAGAGTTGCGTCCATGTCCACTGGCTTGCTTCAGAGTTGTCCACCACTTTTTATCGTTTGCACAACCTGCTTGCAGTTGAGCTCGAAGACACTGACGGTGGATTGACTTTGCAGCAGAAATGCTCCTACAGCACTCTTCTTGCCAATGAGGAATACTGTGCTAGCTATATTTCAATTGCTGTGGAGTATCAGGCTGAAACAGCTACCAAACCGATTATTTGCTGCAAAAGTACCTGTGACTATTGGTGACTCTGCTGCCCGGCACTGATAGCTGCACAAAGCACCTCCATTATGCATCCGGTTCACATAAACCTTGGTCTCAATCATTTCTGATGTGACTTTATGGACACACTCATCATCAATTCAACACCTGTGAACAGGAATGTTTTGGTGTGTGCAGAGATGTCCATAAAATGATTCAAAAGAGTTCTTAGTATTGTATACTTGCGCCCATCATATGCCCCGCAGCCCACAAGAGGAATATTGCAACATTACTTTGGCTCAAAAAGAATGCAAACTAACCAATCTCGAACCCAGCACTTAAGCATGTATTGGGGTTTTCCAGCACTAGCTTGTAAACAGTTTGTCAATTGACTGATGAGAATGTTGTGCGTGAGACTTCCTCACTTCGTAATGTATTGTGCATTATACTCAATAAAAGTACTTTTCTGATGGATAACGCATAAGAATGTCTGGTCATGTGTGTTACCTGTACCCAGAACGGTGACCTTCCTGTTGATTTCGCTGCCTGGAAAGGACAACTGGAAGTAGTCAAGTATCTACTGGACCTCCAACCCGGCACGATCTCTGTGAAGAACAGTGTAAGTTAAGCAATCTCTGTCATAATCATGACTCTCCTTGCTGTAGTCAGTTACTCCTTTTTTTCTTTTCTTTTTACAAGATAACCACAAACCATCATGGTGCAAACGCCGGCAAAAACGCACAGAGATGCACATAGCGATGGCAGCCGAAGCAGTGGAGGCGGGGCAAGAGCAGCTAAACCGACCAGGGGCCTCGCCCTCACCACTGCTCATGCGCGCCAAACAGAAAAATACTAAAATAGAAAAAAATGAGCAGGAGCACTACAGAGCAAATGTGAAATGAGGGTGGCAGCACGGTCACGGAATGCTGTTCAATGGGAGGAAAAAAGTTAAGGTTCAGGTACACCATACATTGACTGCATACGCCCAGCAGCAGGTATCCGAAATCATACACACGCACGCGCGCTCGCACACACACATACACACACACACACACACACGCACAGCCACACACACACACATGGAAGTATTACACACACACACACACACAAACACAAGTATTATACACACACAAACTATATACACACACACACACGCACACAAACACACACACACAAGTGCTATACACAAAACACACACACACTATACACACACATGCACACACATACACACACACACAAACACACGCACACACACAAGTAATACACACACACACACACACACGCACACACACACACACACACACACACACACACACACACACACACATACTATACACACACATGCACACACACACTACACACACACGCACACACACACACACACACACACACACACACACACACAGATCACAGGTGGCTAGAGGCCCAATGCTAGTCAGCAGATCGTAGATACTTCTGAACGCCTTCTTTGAACTGCTGGAGGCGAGGTAGAGTAGATTGTGCTGTGATGAGCTCTGGAGGAAGGCGATTCCACTCCTCAACGATGGCGGACGGAAATGATCGCTGTACGCTGTTGCGTGAGTGACGGGTGTGGGGCATGGCAAACTGCAATTCATTGCAAATCCGGCTCTGCTGACGAGTGCGAGGATGCCCTTGCAGCTCTGGTGCAACGGCAGGGATCATTGTTCGCCGTGGTGAGCTAGTTGAGAGGCACCGGAGCTTGTATAAGTACGTGTGAGCAGCACGGCGGAGGGCCAGACCTGGGAGCCATGACTCACGAGAGATGATCTTGAGAGCTCGTAACTGTACTGCATCGAGCTGGCGAAGGGTTGTAGTGGCAGCCCCCATCCAGACCAACGGGCAGTATTCCATTACTGGTCTGAGGAAGCCATTGTAGACCCGCTCTCTTCCACGCAACATCAAGGATAGGGGCAGCTCTGTTCAGGAAGTGTAACCGCTGGCGTGCACGTACGGCTACAGAGCGCAAATGCTGGTGGAAAGACAACTGTGTGTCGAACTGGACTCCTAGGAGCTTGAGCTCTGCTTCCTCCACAACTGGTACTCCATCGAAGGAGATGGCTGGGAGCTGCCGACGTGGCCGATAGTAGTAGTATAGTGCGGTAGGGGTTCTGACTCAAAAGTCACCTTTGACCCCTGGCTGCCAAATAAGGAAGAATAGTCCATATATCTTCTCTGATCGGCTCGAGACATAGCTCATCGGAATCAGTGCCCAATTCTCCTTCGGATAAGCCATACTTATTTTTGGCGTTCAGTTTCCCTTTAAGCTTTGTCCTCTGGACCACCGTTTCTTACAGTTGTTCACTAAATTTATCTTTCAGTGTAAAGTAGCTCACCCGGTTGCCAGTTTAGATTCTCTATTTTGTAGGCACAGTACACCTGCTTACACCACTCGCGGCTCTTCTGCAAATAATCTTTCGTTATGCCGATATAAGACTGCATGCGGGTATCGCTCATTGTCTAGTAGGATTGCTTTACTTTGGAATGCTCTGCCCTTCGAAATGAAGTCTTGCAATACGTCTTCTGCATTTAATGCCCATCTTGCCTGCCTTCTTAATGACGGGCCACAATGTACCCGGTTAAAACAGCTCCTTTTTGAAAATGTATTCGATGAGTGATGTGTCGCTTTGTTTTGCTCTAATTGGTGCTTTTCTCCAATGTCATGCAGTCGTATTTATTCAGCTTTTATTTCTTGTGTACTTGCATACTGGTATTAGTTTAGTCCCACAATCTGCGATAAAATGATCCGCTGTAGCACCTAATCCACTTTTATGTTTATGTATCTATGTCATTCAGATCTTCCCAAGTTGTACAATGTACTGTTGAGATACCGAATTCAAATAAATCAATACCATACCATACCAATACTTAGGTGTTCGGTGAAGGATTCCGAGCTCGAGCGATTGTCGAGTAACTCAAGAGGCTCCACTTACTGTGATTGATTATGGCTACAACATTTAGTAAACGACGCAGCTCGATTCTGTGTGGAGTCGACTAGTCCCTGATGCGAAGGCGCTTGAATCGGACGACGAGAATTTTTACGGATTCAGCGCTGGCACCCGTGAGTCGTCGGCGAGCGATTCGGACACCGATGTTGACAGCGACGGCGATGATATGCCACCTAAAAAGAAGACGTATGGAGTCACAGCAAGCTCGAGTGCTGCTAGTGTTGTGTCGAAAACGCCAAGCCCCGACAGCTCGGAAATTTCAAACGCGAAGAGTGACACCGACTACTCGGAATCGGATGACGAACCAGATGCCCTCGCATCTGAGCCACCGACGACGGAGCAGGTGAAGCGTGGTCTCTTCAGACATACGCGATGGGATTGAGAGAGGCTGTGGATGCAAGTCGACGAATCATTGGAAAGTCATCCCATCGCAAAGCAGCTCGAGGACTACATGTTTGAAGTCTCTAAACTGCGAGAATCTAAAAAGCGCTTCAAGCAGTTTGTTCTGGGCGCACTGACTGGAAGCATGCGAAAGTCGATGACTGGTGGTGGTGATCGACCTTTCTATTTCGCTATCATGTACGTAGTTACGATTTGTGCAAAGATGTGTTCATGGCAGTTCATGCTGTTGGAAGTCATGTAATGAAGCGCCTTCATTAAAAAGGCAAACAAAGGAGTCGTTCAACTGGCACACCATGGCTTGACTGGGAGAACACCAGAGCACTTAGCCATTCTAGCAGACATAGAGCAGGATGTAGTGCAGTGTATTTATTCATATGGTAACACGTACGGTCTACCTCAACCTGCAGCGGAGCGAGGTCGTGCTGAGGACCCTCCAGTATACTTACCAGCATCCAAGAACAAGAAGTCTGCATACAACATCTATACCAAGACTGTCACACAGTATTCGCCTGTTCAGTACGGGTCATTTTGCCACATTTGGAGGAGACAGGCAGCACACATCAAAGTGATGAAGCCAAAGACAGACGTATGCGCACTGTGTGACAAGCTGGGGTACAAAATTCGTGTCGCCCGTACAGAAGAAGAGACGGAATGTAGTGTCCAGGCCCTGCGTTCGCACATATCACTAGCACAAGAGGAGCGGCAGTACTACCGAGATTCAGTGGACGGCGCGCAGGCGTCACTGGGTGAAGCTGAGGGCATAGTTCACTATACATTTGAACTGCCTAACTAGCAAGAATGAAGATATATAAAGAACATTACAAACTGTGTACATAAATTTGCTCTATATCGCTCAATTGACATGCCATTTTTAAATAGGTGGTTAGGCACATTTTTCCATTGCAGATCAACTTGAAATTTTGTTTGAGCACATTACCATACCATACCAACATTTTGAGAGAAAAAAATTTTTCGCCAAAAAGTGCCATAGGGTGGTTTCTGTAGTCCCTGGCTCATAATTGTGTTTTCTGAATATTTAACATTAGGTTATCTTCTTTGAATTTTTCACTTGATTTCTCCACAATCTCCTCGACTTCTCGCCTCTCCGTGTCATGGATTGTTGTGTCGTCTGCATATTGGGTGGCTTGTGCTGGTAAAGATAAGTGCGATAGTATAGGATCAAGGTGGCGCATGGCTCCCTCAGCATACACATTGTACATGATGGGAGAGAGCGGATCTCCCTGCACTACTCCAATATTTGTAGCAAACGCTTTGCCTAAATGAGAACTGAGTTTCACTCTCACCGTCGTGTCCGAGATCAGAGTGGCGACGACATCAGTGGCAGCTCCAGAGTCTGAAAATCGCGCCAACGCCTTCTCACGGACAATGGTACCAAGTGCTCCGCTGAAGTATAATAGTGCGGGAGAGTATTTCCAGTCACCGAGTAGTGCACGTTTGCACATGACACGAGTATAGAAAACTCCGTCAGCCGTGGAGCGTCCGGGTGTAAAGCCTGCCTGACTTTCACGTACATATGAGGTGGTAGATTGTTGTGAACGCATGGTGATGATGCGGGTCAGCACCTTGCGAACAACTGATAGCAGCATGACCGGTCTGTAACTTTTCGGTGCAGTAGTATAGTGCGGTAGGGGTTCTGACTCAAAAGTCACCTTTGACCCCTGGCTGCCAAATAAGGAATAACAGTCCATATATGGCAGATGACCTTTGACCTTTGAGTTAACCTTTGACCTCTCAGCTGCCATATAAGGCTGAATAGTCCATATATGGAAGATGTCATTTGACCTTTGACCTTTGTTGTGACCTTTGCCCTTTCCATATAAGGATGAATAGTCCATATATGGAAGATGTCATTTGACCTTTGACCTTTGAGCTGCCTGTGGTGCCCATTACTGTGCTGACGTGGACCCCCTTTACCACTCTCTTAAGCTATGTCCTCTGGACCACCGTTTCTTACAGTTGTTCATTAAATTTATCTTTCAGTGTAAAGTAGCTCACCCGGTTGCCAGTTTAGATTCTCTATTTTGTAGGCACAGTACACCTGCTTACACCACTCGCGGCTCTTCTGCAAATAATCTTTCGTTATGCCGATATAAGACTGCATGCGGGTATCGCTCATTGTCTAGTAGGATTGCTTTACTTTGGAATGCTCTGCCCTTCGAAATGAAGTCTTGCAATACGTCTTCTGCATTTAACGCCCATCTTGCCTGCCTTCTTAATGACAGGCCACAAT